CCATCACACGCTTGAGGTATTCGGCCAATCATAACGCACTGGATAGCTGGCCAATCACAGCACACCTCGTTTTCAGACCGATGAGCTTTGTAAAAATCAACGCGTTTCAGAAAGGCGGGGCATAGAGGAGAAACAATAATGTACAGTATGTGGAAAATAATGTGTTTTTTTAACCTTAAGCCACATAAACACATTTCATTACACCAAATACACAAAATAATGTTCTTTTTAACAACATTATATTACCCCTTTAAAAGACAGACATGTCATGTCTTTTCTTCTAAAAAGACTCAATGGGCATCTCTTCATGGGAAACATGGCTGTTTACATTGAATCTCCTGCTCAGCAAAATACAAAGTAACAAGATTTTTATTTAACACACAAACAAACACATACACACCATATAGTGTTAGAAATGATCAAATTTGGTGAGATACAGAACAAGAATATCAGAAAAAAAAATTTTTAAATTAATATAAATAATACACCCAAAACCCAAAACAACCCATCCTGCTATTCATCCATGCATCTAACTGTCGGTTCATTTGTCTAACTGTCAACCCAAAACTACCCATCCATCCATCCATCTATCCTCTATCAATCTCTTCATCTATCATTAGCCACCCTGCTTTCTAGATATCGGTATCAGCCACCGGAAAATCCCATTTTGGTCAACCATTCGTGGAATTCATTGATTTTTTTCATCCAAACAGTACTACCTAGGGAATAACCCACACTTCATTTGTTTCGCTTAAATCAACCAGCTTGTGCACTTTACACCAGAGTTTGTCATGTTCTACAAGCAGCCAGGGTATTTTTACACACACACAATGGGCTGCATGAGGCCTGACTGTAACCTGATCAGGTTTGAGGAGACTACGGCAGTCTCTATTTGCTTCATCTCTATTTAAAGCCATTTAGATGAAATGAAATGGAAAAGTTGGGGAATTTCATCTTTTTTTAACCCTTTTTGCTTCTTGATGAAGATAGGAAGTTTTGTTAATGTTAGTACACCAAATTAAAGCACAAATTATATGTGTAAGCAATGCTTTATCTATGTATTTTGTGAATGATGGAAATGTGGTTTTGTTCCACAAGCCTGAAAACCTCTAGTTTTCGGCAAACTTTATTGCTACTCTTCATCCAAATACATACTGACCTATATTTTACAGCTGCAATCAAACTTGTTTTAATTCAGAACACTTTCTATCCCCTGCACAGGATGTGTTTACTTACTGTAAGCTGTCCCGATAAGTACTGAGGGGCATCCCGCAGCACTCCGGGGCTCATGGGAGACGTGACGGATATGGAGGGGCGCTCCATCTTCTGAGACTCAAATGAACTCGAACCTTAGAAGAGATTTAGCGTAAAGTAGAAAAACTCAAAATTAATAAGAGATTTTGTCAAAGAGCTGCTGAAATGGCTCATTAAATGTCTCATAGAATTTCATCGTTTATACACACTAGACTGAGAAAAAATGTACTCACTGGACTCCAGGTGTGCGTGTGTGCTTTCTGGTATCCTGGGGATATCGCTGCAATGACAGTGGCACAGAGAAATCAATGACATGTGCTTTAATGACCCTGAGCACCGCATTAGTCTTGATGTGAAGTTTGTGGCAGCAGCCCAAATTCACAATCTAAAGAGAGTTCACTTGGTCATACGCTCTTTACAATTAGGAGGCTAAACTGAGGGCAGCAGTTTTGTTTGCTTGTTCATCTGAGCCAGCAGGTACTCTAAAGTGTCATATCAGACCTTTTTTCCCCCTGAGGCCCACTATTAATGTTATGAACCCAAAAAAAAACAAAAAACATTGCATGACTTTGCTGTTATTCATCAGAAGCCAGATGTCAAGTTTGCAATTATATTTCATATTTTCTTTTCAATTAAAAAGGAAGTTTTGAGTTTGTCTGAAAATATCAAGGAAAATTGAATTTTTCATGACATGGTACCTTCAATTCTATGTAACTATATTGTAAGGAGGTGAAAAACATCTAGCGTACTGCAAAAATAGACTATTATAATAAAAAATTTAAGGCAGAGGGATCACAAGGCTCATAAGCATGTTAGTGTTATGATTAAAACCAATATTAATCATAAAATGTTCACATGAAATTACAACACAAATAAGAACAACAGAAAATGTAACGATGTTGGTTCAAATTAGACGTAATAAATTTAATTGACAATTCTTTTAATACTTTGAGGACTTGAGACTAATGTGAGTCTTATTGACCATTAAATTATTTTATTTTTTTTTGCAAATCAGCACTGCACAATTGTTTCTGTGTGCAGCAAACGAGGAAGATGCAAAGAAAAAATATGCTGTCTATAATATGTTGTGTAGGCATTTCTTGTGTGATGAAAATTAGATCTTTAATTTCTTCTTTAACAGTATCAGCATAATCTTCTATATTAGAGACATGTTGTATTCACAGAAACTGAATATTTGTAAATGTAATTTCTGTTAATTTCATGTTACACTGAAGAACATTGTAGAGGACGCCGTACCCAATGGGTCGTGAGACCACTAGTTCCACCTGAGGCTCTGGCTTTGATTCTAATATGATATTGTAAACTTCTTTAAATGTGGCTCCTTGTAACTGTCGGCCGTTCCACTCAAGGACTTGGTCACCTATGAAACAAGAAAATCACTTACAACTCTGTTATCAAACACTCAAGTAACAAACTGTCAGACTAATATGAGTCCACCATTTAAAAATTTGGGGTAATTATGTTTTCTTTTAAAAAAAAGATTTTAAACTGATCAAAAGTGACAATAAAGTGGCATTAAAAAGTTTACGTTGTTACAAAAAAAAAACAAAAAAAACTCCAAACCGCTGAATGGTAGTATATGAAATACTGAAACATAGCATGTACCTGGTCTGAGATGCCCAACTGTATCCGCTAAACTCCCTTTCCTTACTTTGGTGATTAACGCACAAAGTCTTCCGGACTCTGTCATCTTTCCTCCAACCACCTGTAAAAGACACATTTTGTTGTGATACTAGAGTTCGGAAAGAATAATCGGTTTCAAAATAAACTGCACAAGTTTACACTGAACAATAAAAAGTGAGACTTTCGAGGGTGTGTATGTTATTTCTGTCCGTGCTTTTGAAAGAACCGACTGTTGGAAAAGGCCTGGAGGTCTGTTCCATAAACCACGTGACCAATCGTTCTGTGAGCATCATACAAATCAAATCCTCACTAATGGCAGCCCAATGCAAACATATAAAGAAGATTACAAGCTGCCTCCTGGATAAAGATGGCTTTACATGAGTGGAATGGAGCCGAGGGTGATTGTGAGTGTGTGTGTGTGTGTGTTTGACAAACTGCTGCTGGTAAAGGATATAATGCACACGGTAGCACTGAGCTGACACACAGTCAGCCATTCAGAAAGTTTGTTATCAGTAACGATTCTCTGTTTCTCTCCACTCCGCTGAACAATCCATGTAAGTGCTTTAACAACAAATACAAGCTTTGTATTTCTGCTTTTTTTACCCCTGGAAGTGCACAGCTCTGTTTACTTCCACTGTAAGAGCTTTACTGTAACCTTGTTTTGTTTTTTTTGCTCTTTTAATGTCAACAATAAATTACTATTAAACTTTAGACTTTCTCAATGCACATTTGTTAAAAGTAATATGCATTCACTCTTAAAAATAAAGGTTCTTTATTGGCATTGATGGTTCTGTGAAGAACCTTTAACATTCAAAGAACCTTGATTGCGCAATAGGTTCTTTATAATGGAAAAAGATTATTCAGATTCTTCATACTAAGAAAAAAATGATAAACTTTTCACTGAAAGGTTCTTTGGGGAACCAAAAAAAAAAACCTTTTGGAACCTTAAGATTAATTTTAATGTTAATTGAATATTTTTGACCTTATTTTATCAGTGCTCATTATTGCAAGTAATAAAATGTTTGTTCATAATTTATCATTTGTTTTATAACTTAATCCACTTTTAAAATGAACAGTCCAACTCTACAATTGTTTTGTTCAGTATCCTGTTTTACTCAGATTACTGAAGTAAAATGGGTTATGAACATGCTTCACATTAACATAAATATCAACTTAACTTTTATGATTTTAACCCTTTAAAGTCCATGGCCATGTTTAATTTCTCTAGAAGACCCACAATGGATATTTCTGCTTTTTAAAACTGGTAGGAAATTATTTTTTTCTGTAGTATTCAACATAAATGTTCTCGACAGAGTTTGTATTAAAGGAATAGTTAATGGGAAAAAAAAGGGTAAAAAAAAAAAAATGTACCTACCCAGATGTAGATGAGTCTGTTTCTTCACTGGAACAGATTTGGAGAATATCATAATATTTGCTTGGAGCTGCTTTGGGCTGTTTTTGCATGTAAACGGTGCTTGATTTGTGCATATTTCTGTCCTGATTCAGATGAGGCAAATTTTTCACTGGAGAAAGCAATATTACAGATAGAGGGCTTGTATTTTAACTTTTTTTTTTTTACAATCACGCAAGATGGTAATTGATGGACTGGAGTGGAGTGGATTACTTGTGGGTTAATGTGATGTTTTTATCAGCTGTTTCTGACGGCACCCACTCACTGCAGAGGATCCACTGGTGGTCAAGGTGATGTAATGCTACATTTCTCTAAATCTGTTCCAATGAAGAAACAAGCTCATCTACATCTTTGCAAATTTCAGTAAATTTTCATTTTTGGGTGAACTATACTAAAGCAGGAATGCATTACTGCCATTACTTAACTACACAACCACATGTGAAATCAAAATCACATAAAGATCATGCCCACACAGGAAGGCGGAGCGACTCACTTTCAGTCCCAGAAGAGCTCCAGAGTCGCGGGGAACGCTGCCGTCCTTCATGCGCTTGTTGAGCAGGATCCTGCCGATGAGTCGATCTCCATCTTTGGAGGGCTGCCATGTGACCGGGTGCTGTCAGGTCAAAAGCACAACAAACATCATTCCAGAACACACAGAAAGCTGCCAGTGCTGGTGCGGGGAAGGCTGAGATGAACTTCATCTGATTTATCGCACAAACTCTGTTGTGATTGCAGGTGTTTCATGGGAGCAAGCCACACGTCTGGGACAAATCAAATAATATTTCTTAGAGGCTTAAGGGATTAGCTCACCCCAAAATAAAAATTCTGTCATCATTTACTCATGTCGTTTCAAACCTGCATGATTTCCTGTTTTCCGTGAATGTGTCTTCAAATGTATGTTTTGCAATTTAAAATAGTTAAATGTGTTTAAATTCAATGAATGTCTGTATTATAATAATGCTCAAGTTCAAAAATAAAATAGGAAACAGATTTATAGGAGTGATCTGGGTTCAATATAAAGTTAAGCTATACGGACAAGACAACATCTACAGAAAATAATTTTGAATCGTCCCTCAGTTGGTAAAAACATACCAAAATGCTTACAGTAGAAAAAAATATAATGGAGGTCTATGGGGCAAGGCATTCCAGATGGCTTAAAAGCAAAATTGTGAATTGCATTCTTGCTAAAGTGCTTATATTCATTATTTCGTACAAATTGGCTGTTTTCTGAGCTATATAGTTGTCTAAATTGTCCTTTTATTGGTGAGATGACATTTCTACATGAATGAAGTTCTGCTACATGTTATTGCCGTTATTCCTGTGGACACAGTTTGCGTCATGTAAAAATCACACAAAATCCTTAATCGTTGAACAAATACTGCTAAAATGGTTTAATATTGTAATGCAAAAAAACTGAACGACTTTCACATTGCAATCACTTTACATATATAATGTTTAAAGTGGTTATACTTTATAAGCAGTGATGGTATAATGCCTTGCCCCATAAATTTCCATTTCCCATCATGTGTCACTTTACATATATAATGTTTAAAGTGGTTATACTTTATAAGCAGTAATGGTATAATGCCTTGCCCCATAAATTTCCATTTCCCATCATGTGGAAGTCATTTATACTTACTGTAGCAGTCACAAGTTTGGGGTCATTTTTTAATGTTTTTGTTTCTTATGCATACCAAGGCTGCATTTATTAGAAATTAACTGCACTGAAAAAAAAATAAATAATTTGAAACAATTTTTACCCAGATATTGATAGCAAATTTCACAAATAATTACAAAAAAAAAAAAAAACAGCAAGTAACACACTGAATTAAATGTGGAAATTTAAGTAAAAGGACTGAAGTGGTATTTTCTTATAAATTATACTTTATTAGTCTTTATTTGCAAATTTGAAAAATCATTTTTCACAGTGTTTTCTGTATCAATATATATAAAAATGTATTTATTCCTATGATGACAAAGCTGAATTTTCAGCATCATTACTCCAGTGTCAATGTTCCTTCAGAAATCATTCTAATATGCCGATATTTGTTTTGCTCAAGAAACATGTTTTATTATTATCAATGTTGACATCTGCTGTGCAATATCTCAGTTTTTATGGTTTTTTCAGGAGTCTTCGGAAAAGTTAAAGAACAGTGTTTATTTGAAATAGAAATCTTGAAAGATTATAAATGTCCTAACTGTCACTTTTGATCAATTTAATGCATCCTTGGTGAATAAAAGTATACATTTCTTTAAAATATAAAAAAATTTTTATGTTAGTGCATTTTTACAAAATGGCCAAAATTAGGTTAGGACAGCTTAACATGTACTGAATCCAGAGCATTCATAAATGCTTCGTAAATATAATTTTTTGGCTCTAGGTGGTGTAGAGTTTGTGTGATCTTGAGGGAGTGACATGCACCCATCACATGCAGAGAAAAGCCCCCCATGGCGACAGATTCCGCTTCCATCACCACAGCCGAACCCCAGCACCACATCCAGCAAACACAAGCCCCAATAATGGAAGAAGAAACAGATGATGTTCAAACTGAAAGTGAGGAGAACAGCATGGAAAGGCTCACGAACACAAACAGTGGAAACCAGTGACCCATAACATAGAGAGCAAAGGAATATGACAGTGGAAAGGGAAAAAAGAAAAACAAACTTCGTGGCAAAACAAATCCTGGCTGGCCGTCTCTGAGTGAGTGAGCGTGTGTTTCGGAGCGAGTCTACTGGAGCGTGAGCGTGTGGGAGAAGGGGGGAAGGAGTGAGGATTCTAACCAGTGAGGGGGTCTGGGGCCCGGGGCCCTACCGCAGCAATAAGACACGAGGCTGAGAGGGCATGCAGCTGACGGGGGAACCCACATTCTCTAAGTGCCATGACAAAACACACAGTCACATGGTGGAGTGATTCGCTGCTATGTCGACTACGGCAGCTGCGGCTAAGAAGCAAATGATAACAGAGCAAGCAAGAGGCTCCCCAGCTACTGCCACAGAAGAACAGAAATTTAAAACTCAGGAAAACTTTTTTAAAACTTAGAAAAAGGGATAGTTCAATCAAAATTGTTCATGATGTTCTGAACCCATATAACTTTTTCCACGGAACACAAACAGAGAATGTCCATGCAACTCTTTTCCATATGATGAAAGCATATTTTGACACCAACGAAGCTGAACACCATTAGTTCCTGTGAGTCACATGACTAAACGTGATGTGCAAGATTACTTATTAACTGCAAATTAAAAGTAAGAGATTCAAAGGAAGACAAATGTGAATGCAACTTAAATTTCAGTCCGTTTCTCAAAGAAATCAACACTACCGTTTAAAAGTTTGGGTCGTTTTTTCAGTGTTTCTGAAAGATGTCTCTTATTCTCACCAAGACTGCATTTATTTGATCAAAAATAGAGTGAAATTAGTAATATTATGAAATATTATTACAATTTAAAATAGTTGTTATCCATTTTAATATATTTTAAAATGTAATTTATTCCTGTGATGCAAAGCTGAATTTTCAGCATCATTACACTTCTTAATATTTTTGTGGAAACCATTATACATTTTTTTTTTCAGAATTCTTTAATAAAAAAGGTTCAAAAAGTTCAAAAGAAATTAAAATCTTTTGTAACATTCTAAAAGTCTTTACTGTCACTTTTAGTCAATTAAACGAGCTCTTGCTGAATAAAAGTATTAATAGAAAAAAAAAAAATGTAGTGACCTCAAACTTTTGAATGGTAGTGCAGTTTCAGAAGATCTGAAATATTGCATAAAAGTCAGACAATCATTTTCTTTTTCGGAGCTTGACAGCTCTTGGTCACTGTCTGCTTTTATTTTATGGAAAATAGCAGCTTGGGCATCTTCAAAATATCACTTTTTGCACTTCACGGAGAAAAAAAGAAAGTCAAACAGGTTTGGAACTACACAGAATTTTCTTTTTTTTGGGTGAACTATCCCTGTAACATTCAAAAAGAAAATCTGACCTAATATTAGCGACATCAAAACAAAGACCATGTGAAAATGGAACAAAATGAAGTAAATGAAAAGTTCCCAACAAAACAAGATCAAATGAAATCAAAGCAATGCAGGCTAGAGAGGTACCAGTACCTTCTCACTATGGCTATGCTCCTCGTTTAGGGTAGTGCTACTGCATGTATCAACCCCCGAGTCTTTAACCTGGGGTTCACACCACTCAGCATCTTCTTCCAAAGAGTGGCCCCCAAAGCGCACCATTTTCTTTTGGCCCTCAGATAAGGTGTGTGACTGCTCAAAAGTTTGTCTTTTTCCCCTTTGACTGTCCCCTACAGACATGGGATAAAAACAGAAAGAAAAAAAAACATGCAGAAGTGAAAATAAATCAAAAGAACCATGAAATGACAAAGAGTGACAGAGAGAGAGAGAGAGAGAGAGAGAGAGAGAGAGAGAGAGAGAGAGAGAGAGAGAGACAGAGGGAGAA